TATCTAGATTTGTCAGTTAATTTCCTAAATCCAGAACATCAACTCAACTTCATAACAAATTCGCGTGACATATTTATGCTTCCTGCCCTACAATCGTTTCTTAACAACGATAATCATTCATTACTTCCCTCCATATCCCCTGATTCTTGGTCCGAAGCTATAGGATGGTATAAACGAGCAGTCGATAGTGCGGTGGGTTCATCCGCTTCCAGTGATGGGTGTACAGATGAAGGTTTAGATGCTGAAGGTCACTATGATGCTGCTGAAGATTTGTTACCTGTTTATCGTATTTTGGCTCGTATGGCTGAAATGTATTCTGTCGGTGGCTTCGGTCTTAAACAAAATTTTTCTTTAGCTGGTAAGTTTGCATTTGTAAAATTTAATATTTTGCGCTGTATAACAAAGTAAGTAGTAGGGTTTGTCAATGGATACAGTGGACCGGTAATAATTATTAATTCATCCACCTTGTTGCTTTAAGAAACTCAAGTAAAGTGAGAATGGTCTGATTTACAGAATAAAATGAATTCATTTTATTTCGAGGCTTCTCATCAGGTACGAATCACTTCAAGCTACGATAACTAATATTATTGTGAACAAAGTTGTTCATTCCTCAATCAATAAAGAGAAGTTTAAAGCAACACGGAAAGACATGGGAAATAGGAAGAATACAAGATATATTCCACACAGTTGTCAAGAGTGAACAGTATTTATATGTTAAAAGTGAAGCCATATAATGAAATGTGTTGTGTCATAAATAATGATCAGCGAACAGAATGAAAACACGTCAACAAGTTAATGATCTTAAACTCAAGCCACGTGGTTAGTATAAAATTGAGAGTTTATGTAATGGATAAACGTCACACCACTATAATTATTTTGCATGGCAATGAGAAGTTTACCACACTTAATGTGTGCAGAGGTCTGGCCGAGAACTCTTGATGGTAGTAGCCTCCGCTAATCATCTCGAATGCCTTTTTGATATTTACTTCATATTCACTGTACATTAAGTGTTCAGTCATCTCACTTATAAACACTTTACTTCCCTTCGTTTCGAACTCCACCTCATTAACTAATGTATGAAAAATTTTGTTCATCATAATACTAGTAACCCTAACTTCAAGTCGTTCTCGCTTTATTCAAGTACTATTGCTTAAAAATCGGAAAGTGTCATAGATCAGTTTATTCGCTCGAAACGACTTTTTTGTTGTTTTTTAGTTTACCACTGTAGTTATTATAATCATTATTTCTTTCTCTTGTCTTCTGTTGAATTCCTGTGTACTGAAGTAGTGTCGAGACCTATACTATTCTATAGTTATGTCAAATCCTACGTTGTGTTTTTTATCCAATGATTCTCAAACAAACGATCTTCTCTAGATGTATAGGCTTGAAAAAGATGTAACGAAGGTATAAGTTGTGTAATAGTTTGGTTCTCTCTATTTCTTAATATTTTCATCAAATATCTGCCAATTACTTGTACCTCCGTTATGAATAATTAAGGCTATGCCTGTAGTGTTGAAAATTCTTGGATTCAAGCTAGGTGAATCCCCAATACATTTATTTAGAGCCTAATGTTTAAAAAGAGTTTAATCTGGTAACAATATTCGTATACTGATAACTACCATTGTAATACCGTTATATATTTACGGAAATATTCAATCACACGAACGTTTACTTTTTAACCTTAATTATATAATTTTTCCTCTAAGAACTTACATTGTAACCATATAATTTATTTAGTTTTTGGATTTTCTGTCAAGTTTTTACGTCCAAAACAAATCTCAATCTTAGCAATATAACGTAAAGATGACTTAAAACTTTTTTCCCTCACTTTAATTTACTTTGCTTTCAGGAGATCTATTCACTCAAGCTGCAGAAATTGCGTCTGGTTCACTACAGGGTCGTTTGGCTGTAAGATATTTTGAGTTAGCAGATGAAGCATACTCATCAAATGAACAAATCACAAACTGATACGAAGTATATTTTGACTTCATAGGCGTTGAAAGGCATGATTTAACATACTCGATCCCTGGTGTGCTGTTTATACAGTTATAGACATCAGTACTTGTATTATTTTTTACTCTTTGAATCGATTAATGTATTTCTTACGATCTATAACACTAGTTTTGACACTATCTTTATTTGGATTAATGTTGCAGTTTTTTCTATCTTACAGTCATCCGGTTGTACTACTTTTGTTTTGCTTATTATATTTCAATACACATTTTTCATTTATATCATTCTGCACTTATCTTCGGTTTTTACTACATGTCCGATCAATTTTTTACGAATAGCTGCTGTTTCTGATCACATCTAATGCTATTACATTATTAACTCAGTTTGTAGTTTACTCAGTGAAAATCGCAACCTGTGTTTCGTTAGTTTCAAGGACTCTCGTTATGTTGAAGATGTATCACTTATTTATGCCTGTTACCCCTCGTCGAGGAGTATAGGCCACCCACCAGCACTCCCCATCCGACCCTACCTTGGGCAATTCTTTCCAGTTGCTATTCATCCTTTTGATGTCTGCTTCCCATTCTTGGCTCATCGTGTCCTTTTCCGTCCCGCTTCAGGATTCCACGTTAGGGTTTGCCTTGTGATGCAATTTAATGATTTGTGTGTGTCCTATTCACTTCCAACGTCTTTTCCTAACTTCCTCTTCAGCTGGTTTGTAAGTTTCTAGTAGGAAGGCTGTAATTGAACCATTGTACTGCTGTTTCACCAGCTGTCCAGTGTTTCTTTAGCCTCAGTTTCCTCTTGGCCACAACCAGGTGGTGATCTAAAGCTATGTCAGCTCCTCTCCTGGTTCTCACGTCCGCCATTGTCCTCCTGAATTTTTTACTGATACAAGTATGATCTATCTGGTTCTCCGTGGTGTGGTCCGGTGAGACCCATGTCACTTTGTGTATGTGTTTGTGTGGGAATATTGTGCCACCTATAACCAATTTATTGAATGCACATAGGTTTGCGAATCTCTCCCCATCCTCTCGTTCCTTTCTCCGGGTCCATGTAGTCCCATGATATTTTCATATCCGGTGTTGTCCATCCCAACATTGGCGTTTAGGTCTCCCACCAGGATGGTGAGATCCTTTTCGGACCCTTCTCTATGATTGATTGCAGCGTCGACTAGAACTGATCTTTACTGTCGTCGTTGCTATCATTGGTGGATGCATAACATTGGATGCCATTCATCGTGATTCCCTCCTTTGTTTCGAAGGATGCTCTGATGATCCTGGTTCCGTAAGATTCCCATCCTATAAGTGCATTACATGCTTCTTTGGACAGCATCAGAGCAACTCCCTGAGTGTGTGAAGCATTCCATTCTTCGTGACTAGAGTATAGCAGCATCTCTCCCGTATCTAACCTTTACTGTCCAGCTTGGGTCCAATGGGTTTCACTGATTCCGTGCACCACTAAATTGTATCTGAATTCCGTTGCTATTTGACTGGTCCTCTCGGTCTCCCACATTGTCCGGACGTTCCATGTACCTATAAGAATTTTCCTGGTTGTTAGAAAGGGCATCATCTTCGTGACTGCCGAAGACTGTTGTCATGATGAGGCGTCATAATTCTTCCTTTAACTTGGAGGAGAGGGTTTAATCTGGTTAGCGTTTTTCAGCAAGAGTTTTTTCTACAGGATGGGGTTGCAAACCGGATGAGCTACATGCAGAGCGTGTATACTAACTACGATTGAGTTGTTTCCGTTAGTTCATATACTTTGTTTTCATTTTTATTTACAAAACTGATTATCAAGCGGTCTTGTCAATATCCAATGCTTACTAAGATAAAAGAAACATGTAATCAAGTTCCCCAAACCACAACAGTTTATCCATCTTTGATTTATAGCACTATGAAATTTTTTTGATTTTAATATCCACTGCCTATTTGCATATCGTCTTACACTAGTGTAATCACAATTTTAAACAAGTGTTAATAGAAGTTCTTATTGAACCCGTAGAGTGCTACCAAGAGTTTTTTACTGCTAATTTATATCCCGAACATCTAAGACCTAACAGTTCTTAATATACATTATTGACAAATAAAAAATATTTGTAAGTCTTCAGTTCATGCTTTCTGAGGAATCAGTTTTATTGATAAGTAGCTGTTTAGCGAACCCACTGAAGAGTGTTCTTAGATGTTTTTCATACCGTTGTCCATTTATTCAACGAAATTATCGTGACTCTTGAGAAAAGTCGTCACTCTCCGTAGATTTCAGTCAGTGGTCTTGATTGCTGTTAGAGGTATGAGGGCGGTTATCACTTCCCGGTTGCTCACACCGTGGAAGGGTTCTGCTGGAGGTACCTGAAAAGGAAATTGGATTAGAGGTGGTCATAGTGACCTGAGAGCGTGACCGCAGTGCCCAAGGGACAGCTGCTTGAGGTCAGTCACACACGACCTTTTTATGAGTAATTTTTGTGTTAGCTCCGTACTTGTTGAGACCTTACCGCCGGAGACGGATATCCGTGGGATAAGGCGAGGTGTGCATTTTTAGGGTCGACCTTTTCTATCCCCTCCTTTTGGGAAGGAAACACCTTACTGCTGTCACACCTCTGTACAGTCAGCAGTACGACTTCGCCTTCGGACCTAGGTTTTGTTGCTTTTAGTCTTACCGCTCTTCAACCGACCTGTCTGGCATGGTAGGACCTTGAGGAACGGTTGTTCCAGCCAGTGTAGCTCAGTTGCTTCATCACGATGGGCAAGCCCGACCACCATGTCAAGGTAGCAACAACGGTCAGGATCCGTAGATTTACTTCTCGTTTATCCCAATATTTTAAACGAGTGACTAAGTTGTTTTTTATGTGGATTCCATAGTTCTAGAAACAGATGAATTTGATGACGGCTTCAGTTCATCAGGAAATGATATATACAGTGAAGATTTTGATGGGGAAAACCATGAATTAAAGGATTCGGGTAGTCAGGATCTTTGTGATTGCGAATATACCTTTTGCAAACGGAGCTCTCGTCGCCAGCATCTGGTTTCACCGTACTTCGAAGCTCGTAAAACACGTCCATTTAGAATTCGATCTCGTGGTGTTAAGCAGCGTAAGGGAACAAGATCAATGAAATTATCTTCATTAAATAGTTGTCCCACTCGAAGGTCCAAACGAGTTATAAAGGCTCCTCGCCGTCCATATGATGACTTTGAAAAGTCTCAATACTATAATTATGAATTAGATGATGAATCAAAAATATTGATTTTTGATGAAAGGGAAGGAAATTTCAGTTCCAGTGCTCGATCTAATATGATGGAACGTTACAGTCGCCATTCAACAAATAGTCAGTCAGATATTGATTCAGAAAGAGCTGAGAAATCTATGGATATTGAGAATAGTCGATATCGCTATCATAATCATTACCAATCATTAAAACGCGCTCATCAACCTATTTCCAGCTTTAATTCTGACTCATATCAAACTAGATTTCACTTCATGGGAAATGATCTTTAAGTTTCGTCGCATTTCCTAAGTGTTATCCCCACACCAATCGAAATCCTAGAGTTTCATATCAATTACTCTCAAGGGTTTACCACATTGATGTACACCTAATTCGCAATGTCATAAAGAGAGTCAGTGTTTTGTTTCTTAACATTAACCCATTTACCGTCATTGTAGAGGGTACGATCAGTAGTGATACAACTGTTTTTTCGCCTGATGTTCACTCGAACTGTTGAAAGGTAAATGAAAATCTACATAACATTATTTTGTGGTTTTAACAATTATTTATCGTTGATCGAAATATCCGACGAAACGTCTTCTCGATATGTGAGAGACCACTTACTGCCGAGAAAACCAGAATGGTCTACTGCTTTTCGGCTATCAGCGACGCTACTTCAACAACATAATACCAACTTCGTTGAGACAACTCATCGAATTTTGTAGATGCATAAGTTGAATCGAAAAACACCTGTGTTGAGATCTATATTCAGAGATGGAAACAATAATGTAAATCAAATTGTGGGTGGCGCTGAATAGGGTCTTTACTCGGTCTCTTATTAATGCAGATTTAGCTGTATGACGGCGTAACTATGAGTTGGTTATAGCGCCACACATCGGACAGTTCACTGCACGTACGTTTGGTGATGGGTCGTAAGCACAAAACCAATGAAACATTGCTTCGCAAGGACAAAAAACCCAAGCAGCTGCATCACCAGTTTCATGTGGGGGCTGTGTAAGATGACATATATCACACAAACGGTTGTAATAATATTGTTCTTCATATTCGATGTCCCGTTCCGTGAACTTTTCGGAGTTAATAGAAACTATTTCCTCCTCGTCGTTACTAAACGTTTCATCCAAATCCACATTACCGTCATAGTTCGTCACTGAATTATTATGCATCAAGGGCACTGGAACGTTAGTGGAAGGTCTTGGTTCGGTGTACAAATGCGGTTCTGCAGACAAGTTCAACGGCATTGGTGGCATTTTACCGTGAACAACTTGATAAAGATGGTTATAGACTGAACTGCATTGTTCCCCAGACATTTGCCTGACTAAGGCATGCACCGAATTTTTGACGCTTGGCTGTATTAATTGCACTTGAAAGTAATTCTCAATTGCAATATGTGTTAGATAACTCTCCGACTGTAACCACCTGTCACAAATTGACTGTACGTTCACATCAGTATTACTGTGTGTGCAGTAGGCCAATATGTGACAACATGGCATTCCGTTTTCAATATTAAAAATACACGAACACTGGATGGTATTGCGGTTGACTGTGTAAGTGCTGGTTGCGTCCACAGCCGTGAAGAAATCAACAGACATTACAAACTCAGTTATCGGAGTGCGCAAGTGTCGCTTCAGTAGTTGACATGCAGCTGGTGTCAGTCGTTCCTGAAGTCGACGTATTTGTGGCTCCCGACCAATAATTGCTTTCTTCCAACAGTCTGATGTATATTTTTGCAGTCGTGCTTCCATCGAATATCCAGTGCGAAGTAGCACACTGAATATAGATCTCAACACAGGTGTTTTTCGATTCAACTTATGCATCTACAAAATTCGATGAGTTGTCTCAACGAAGTTGGTATTATGTTGTTGAAGTAGCGTCGCTGATAGCCGAAAAGCAGTAGACCATTCTGGTTTTCTCGGCAGTAAGTGGTCTCTCACATATCGAGAAAACGTTTCGTCGGATATTTCGATCAACGATAAATAATTGTTAAAACCACAAAATAATGTTATGTAGATTTTCATTTACCTTTCAACAGTTCGAGTGAACATCAGGCGAAAAAACAGTTGTATCACTACTGATCGTACCCTCTACAATGACGGTAAATGGGTTAATGTTAAGGAACGAAACATTTACCCTCTTCGATTTTAGTCAATGAAGCCTGAGGACCGATTTGACATAGTGTGTGCACGTTGAAGGCTTCAATGTGTAGTTTGGAGCTAGGTTTCAGTAGACCTGGGACAGTGTTTTGTGCATTAGATTCGTCGGCTATGGTGACACTTGAGGAGGAAACCAAAAGAGGAAGTTTCGATTTGAAAGTCGATGTACGAGCAACAATAAAAATTAAAGAGGGAGGTTGATTATGAATACAGTGGCCTTGAGTGCTGTTAGAGGCATGAGGGTGGTTATCACATCCCGGTCGCCCACACCGTGGAAGGTTTCTTCTGGAGGTACCTGAAAAGGAAATTGGATTAGAGGTGGTCATAGTGACCTGAGAGCGTGACCGCAGTGCCCAAGGGACAGCTGCTGGAGGTTGGTCACACGCGGCCTTCTTATGAGTAGTTTTTGTGTTAGCTCCGTACTTATTGAGACCTTACCACCGGAGACGGATATCTTTGGGATAAGGCGAGGTGTGTATTTTTAGGGTCGACCTATTCCCTCCTTGTGGGAAGGCAGCATCCCTGTTGTGCTGGTTGTCTGAAGGGAACACCTTACTGCTTTCACACCTCTGTACTATCAGCAGTACGACTTGTCCTTCGAACCTTGGATTTGTGACTTGTAGTCTTACAGCTCTTCAACCGACCTGTCTGGCATGGTAGGACCTTGAGGAACGGTTGTTCCAGCCAGCATAGCTCAGTTGCATTAACACGGTAGGTAAGCCCGACCACCACGTCAAGGTAGCAACAACGTTCGGGGTAGAGTGCTACCAAGAGTTTTTTACTGCTAATTTATATCCCGAACATCTAAGACCTAACAGTTCTTAATATTCATTATTGACAAATAAAAAATATTTGTAAGTCTTCAGTTCATGCTTTCTGAGGAATCAGTTTTATTGATAAGTAGCTGTTTAGCGAACCCACTGAAGAGTGTTCTTAGATGTTTTTCATACCGTTGTCCATTTATTCAACGAAATTATCGTGACTCTTGAGAAAAGTCGTCACTCTCCGTAGATTTACTTCTCGTTTATCTTCGGTCTTAGATCCCAATATTTTAAACGAGTGACTAAGTTTTTTTTTATGTGCGGAAGCTTTAATTCTGACTCATATCAAACTAGATTTCACTTCATGGGAAATGATCTTTAAGTTTCGTCGCATTTCCTAAGTGTTATCCCCACACCAATCGAAATCCTAGAGTTTCATATCAATTACTCTCAAGGGTTTACCACCGAATCAAGTACATCCACCCTGTCGACCGAATTAGTGTCTCCATCACAAATTTCACTAGGAAAATCTCCGCGATTTCGAGAGCAGGATGATATGACGTTCTTTTCTGTTATTGTTTTTCCGTATACACAGTTTCCGTAGCTTACACAATATCACTGCTCAATTCCAGTTGCTAATAAAAGCTATTGGAAAGCCAAACATATATCTATTTTTGTTCCATGTAATTAAGATCTAGAAACCCACACGATTATGCGCATAAAATGTAAGACCGCCATGATAATCCAACGTGTAAATAACTGGGACACATGACACAAGATGACCACCATATCATAATTTATGAACGGTAAAAGATGCTGCAACAGTTTATAATATATTAGGTAGAACGTCACTATTCGGAGAAGGTTGTAGATCAGCCATTCAATATATACACACACAAAACATATTCACTGATCTCCCCGAGAATCGCCTTTCAGTTTCGTGTATTCGCTCCATTCCGAATGTTGCTGTGTAGCAACAAATTGTTGCTCAGAATTCCATTATATATATATATATATATATATATATATATATATATATATATATATATATATATATATATATATATATTTAGTTAGTAACTATCAGATATGACATCAATAGCTGTATTCTACGTCTGAAATAGACCACTTATGTGTAATTCAATAATCGTACCATTTTGAAATTACTTCGTGGAATTACATTGTATTCTTGTCTCAGTTTCATTTCGTGAACATATTGTTCCATCTCAACAGTTAATGTTTCTTCTCACTAATTAATTACTTCGAAATTTTGCCATGTAACCTGTTTTGTTATCTATCTGGACGTCTAGCTAACAACCTCATAAACACTGCATGTGACCTTAACCTTTTTCCCTTTATGCAAAACTGATATTTTTAAGCTGTTTCACTGGATATCCTCTTAATACACACATCAAATGACTCATTCATACAGTAAATCAAATTCAACCTTTGGATATGATTGGACGACTACTTAGTACAGACTAGTCTTTGAACTAATGTGTTTTAGATATTTCGTACTTTGATTATTTCCCCCAGCATGGAATTACACAGACTGCAGAGCAAGTTTTAATACCAGTTGCTGAAAATCTCACAAATTTAATTTTATAACTAACAGGTCATGTGACTTGGTTCTTTCTATTAACACGTGTCAGGGTTGAACCTCAAGGTCAACAGTTAAATTGGTGGAGTATGTGATGATAATTAGTCTTAATATCAAAGAAAAGAATTTTCATTTTTGCTTGCTGGAGGTCTTAACTACCGTATATTAGAACTAAAGTATTCAGAACTCCGATTCATGTTTACAGTCATCTTTTTAAAACTCATCTGTCTACAATTATTGACTTAAATGATGATGGGAACTGCAACCACATATATTATGTGGTTAAGAGTACACTTTGTAGCTTCTTAAAACTGCATGTCGAGTAGTGTTTGTATCCCTCAAAACTGTCATAATTTTCTAAGGTGTACAATGACACTGCATACGTAAATGCGCTTAGATGTAAGTTATGATGCCCCATAATACAACGGGTAGTCGCTTTTTAGCAGAGTAATGTGACATTAGAATCTTGTAGTTTTTGAATACAAGTGAGTTATTTCCCAGCGTTTACTTGAACCCAAATCAATTTTTAAACCACCATTCTTCGAGTCGTGCTCTTCAGAACCAATACTACTATTCTTTTTGATAGCTAGAACTATAAACAGAAAACTAGAATTAATTCGAAACTTAAAACACTGGAATTATAAGCCAGTATATTGAGTCATTTTAGATCCACAGTAAAACATGAAGCGAAGAGGAATATATTCTCTCAAAAAATAAAATTCTCCACATTTTTTCTCCATATACTTCCATTTCAAAACTTT